AGGAGAGAGAGTCCAATATTTACCTCTGATCTGATATAACTACTCGAAACTTCAACGTCAGCACCTGTTTGTGCCCTGAAATCCAGGCTAATGATATTATCCAGGTTCTCAGCGATACTACGCTAACCATTTTATCTGCTTAGATTTCGTATGAAGGCAGGACCGAGGGCAATGAGGTGCAGCAGATTTGATTTTAGGCCCTACCACGCCTTCTTAGAACAATTTTAAACCTAAAATATCATGATTGAATTCTTCCATCAATTCTTGTTAACCAATTTACCTTTCCCAATTATTTTTGAACTTTTCACAAAATCAGTGAGGGTAATCAAATGCTTTGGCACGCTACCATAATGTTCCTATTGTTGAAGCTGATCTTTCTAACAATCTCTTTTATCGTTTTTTCAATGCTTAGTCATTTTGCAAGATAAATGTGCTCATCCTTATTGGGTGGATGCATTTGGATAAATAAATAATACAGTTAAATAAATAAAATCAATTCAATAAACACTTTAAAAAATATTAAGATTGATTTGATTTCATTTTCTTTCCATCGTTCTCCCTTCTATTGGTGAAACTGATGAGCTCTTCTTTTGGTCATTCTCAAACAGAGCCTTGTCAAACTAAATTCATCGAAAAACCTCTAAGTTTTAAAAAAATCGAACGAATGAGAAATATTCTGATGGGGGGGGGGGGGAAGAGGGAGGGTTGGGATACTGTCTCCCTCTTCTCAAAGCCATACTATATCTGAGGGATGGCGCTAAAACTTCCACTAAGGACATGTTAGCTTGATGATAGCTCATTCTTTTTCTTGTCCTCGCTTTTTGCATACTACACATTAGCCTCAACCCCACTAATCGTTCTCACACGTCAATTAATTTCTCTTGGTACGCTTTGACGTCAATGCTCAAGGGGTACAGATTTTTGTCAGTTTTATCTAATTTCATTGGGTTGGAAAAGAAAGTCTTGCGTTACTTGGACCGAATTTCGAGCAAACTCATACAAAGTAAAGGTACATCACCTTTGATTTGAGTGGCGCATTAGAGCCAAACTTTTTGCACAGCTTCTCATTTCTACAGATACAGTAACTACGAAAAGAAGTGTGCCTCATTTTCGAAAAGACTTCGATTTTCGGAAAAAGAATGCGGTAGGGATCAAAGGAGGTGGTGCAGGAGTTCTTTCCAACATAATAATTTATCTTTCGTCTTTCGTAAAGCAGAGCTGGTTTGCAGGAGCTCCATTGAGAACTTATCCATTATATGGAGTTTATTTATGTAGAACTTTTGAGGATTCAACTCCAGAGGATTGAAACTTTATGGGGTTTAGAAGGTTAAGAGGGCTCTGAAGGGCATTCCATTGTACTACTCCACACTTTCACTATTTTGCACACTTGGCACATGCCCTGGGAAAGCCTCAGTCAACAGTTTCGAGTAAAAGGCCAAGCGTACAAAGCAGAGAAGCAACTCCGCCCATGGTACATTGCCGTTGGGATCTCCAACTCGAGAGGTGGCGGTCACACCTGTTCGTTGGATCTCCCCTAGCTGGTGGCGTGGCAGTCTCACTGTTTCTGATAGTTGAATGAGTGTCAGTCCACACCCCCTCCCCCTCTTCCTTTTCGCTTGACAGGTTTTGAAGGAAGGGGGAAGGTGGTTGTCATTGAGTTCGAAACTTCTCCCCCTGTTGCTGTGCCCCGGTACCGCTTCATTCCTATCCTAGCCTAATCAGCAGCTTGGAAGACATGGAGAGGGCCATTGCGTGAAGGGCCAGATTAAAGGATAATATATGGACCAGAAACTTCGTGACTTCGTGCAAGACTTTATCAAAGGCAGAGAATGTACCGTAAGCTCCTCAATGTTTCAAAATTCGAAAAAAAACTGAAGGATTTGAAAATGAATGACAGACGCCATGTCGTGCAAGAGTCTGACAGGTTCTCCAAAACAACTCTTCCCTTTTCGTGGAATTCTTGTGTTGAATCCCGCTAATAGAACATCCCTCAAAACCCTGTGACCATATTCGAACCCTGACTATTCCATCCCACAACGACCCATCCGCCAACAGCGTTTGAATGCGCAGTCCAGGATGATGTGTGGGCGGAGTCAGGTGCATTACTGTACCTTCATTATTCACGCCTCTGTTAATTTACCAAAGAGCAGGAACGCCACCCTAGAAAGCGCAAAAGCAGGTCCGACTCCGCCCAGAAGGCTAACATGGACTGCGCCTTTCCATACGCAAGTGTAGGTCTGATGCTGTCCAGAATCTCACTGACTTTCGCTTTTTCAGAATGCTCACGACGGCCGGGCGACGATTGTCGCGCGTCTCTGCGTCGCCACGGCCGCGAATGCGTAACTACACACTTGGCAACATGCCACCGCCTCCGGCTGTCTGTCAATACGACACATGACGCAGATTCGCCTCACAGGAACGACAGTAAGACTTCTGTTTTTGGAACACTAATTAACCAACACTCAACTACCGTCCTGGCAGTCAGCTCTCGAGCATCACTTTTTACAGATTTCTCGAGGCAGCCGAAAGAGGTGACAAGCCAACCCTACAGGAATGCCTTCTCACGGTAGTTTTAGCCCTTAAAGTCTTTCTCTTTCTGATTTTTCCTAATTTCAGTTCTTTTTCCATCATTCACTTCTTTCGTTCTCGTTCTGCAGCGGCTACAATGTTTTTGCTTTCTACAAAAAGGGGCGCATCGGGATTTATGGGAGGAGCAGTGGGGGGGGGGGGGGGCAAACCTAGGAGTGACCATCAAAAGATAAAAAAGAAGTACACCTTGACAACGCTATAAAAGAGTGGGGCGCTGTAACGCGGTCTAGTACGTTACCTGTAAAGAGGTATGGTCATTCATGAAGAGAGAGTGCATGCGAAGGAGGTGGGTGTGGATTGAAACAAAGCCAGGGCAGCCTTTCTCCAAACTGTTGAGTTCAGCATGGCATACGTAAGGTGCGGGCCCCATGTATGGCCTCAGTTAGGGTGATTGTTATGATGGCCGTTGGAGGGGCCTATGTGATCGCTGGAAGGAGGCAGGGGTCCGTACTTCACCGTTCATTTTCGCCCGTTTAGGCGCAGCTTCCCACAACGCTGAAGATACTTTGGAGAATCGTTTTGCTCCGTTCGTTGGGGGGGGGGGGGGGGGGTCGTATTAGAGGGGAAATTGGAAAAGATCGATCTGTTGCTATTTTTAATGTTATTTTTGTTCTTCTTATTGACTGTTTACTTCCTCAACATAATTTTGGTAGCGCACAGCCTTTTGGTAAAGCATTATTTTTGTTCAGAAAGAGGGCGAAACGCCATTAAATGTTAATTGCCTTGACTCGATGGGCCGATCAGCGTTGGAGATCGCTGTTGACAACGAGAACATCGAGGTGGGTCCTTTCATGATTAACTTTGTTTACTGGGTATTTTCGAAAGGTGTTAGAAAGCTTGCCGGAATTGCCGGATTTACGCTTTACAGCCCAGTAAGTAGCAAATCAGGCGTTAAAGCTAGTTTCATTGACTTTAACTGAAAATTCTTCCTCTACTGAGAGTAGCCCTTCTGCTCTTCTTGCACACTGCTCTGAGAGGATAGATTCCTGGGATGTTGCCTGCGATTTGCTCCTCTAAAAACTCGG